ATAAACCTTTCTGGGATGATGGAAATGCTCTTCATCATGGTAGGGATGAGTTTATCAAAATTCATTTAATTGTTCACTTAATATGTATGCATTTTATTGCTTGGAAGTTAATCTCAATAAAAACATTAAAATAATCAAAATAGTGTTAGCAGTAATCTGGATCTTTACCCCAGTCTGACCCACCAGTTTTTCTTGCCTATTTCCTGTGTCCTCACAGCAGGGCCAGGCCTTCATTTAGGGGCTGTCTCATCATCCCCTATTTCTACCTTCTGTGTAATTCCAGCTTAAAAGGGGCTCCAGATAGGAGTTCATTTGGGCCAGGAGGACAGGGATGTACACACCCCATTAGCTGCTTCCTGGGAAGGGTTTCACATTTAGTTATCATCTGGACGTCAGCCTCAGCCTTGGGGATGAACCTTCTGACATCCTCCTGGGGAAGAAGCCTGGCTATCAGGCAAGAGTCTGGAGTGGGGTCTCCACTGTGCTGGGTTCTTAGGGAGACAAAATCAATCATGGAATTCCCTCATTCCAGCTCTGTTCAATCATGCAGTTATCTTTATAAATCAAACTGTAATGTTGAATGTATTTGTACAAATGATATTTACAAGATTTTATTATTTAAGCTTATAGGTAACTAACAGAAACAGAAAACATTTCACACTACATTATATTTCTTATAATCAGATTATACTTTAATACAAAAACTCATCTAAATTTAACTGAAACTCAGCAAGCGTGGAGTGTCTATTAGGCATGAAATGATTTACTCTGTGCTCTGGGAGCTGTAACATGAGCTTAGAAGATCTGTGGGGGGAGTGCCCTAATTCAGGCTGGAGGGGCATTAAAATGGAGAACGAAGGGCAGGTGTAGGATTTAGTGTGGACTGGTTTCCAGCCTTCATGTTTTGATTCCTCACTGGCCTGCATCCCTGAGATATTCTATCACTTACTTCTGAACAGAGTGGCTTCTTAGAAGGCTGTTGCAATCATTTATTTTATTTTTAATTGAAGTATACTTGATTTACACTGTTGTGTTAATTTCTGCCATATAGCAAAGTGATTGTTATACTTACACATACTTTATTTTGTTTAATTCTTTCCCATAATAACTTATTTAAAAATAGCTCCCTGTGCTGTTAATATTCAGTAGGACCTTGTTGTTGGTATTTTACTTTTTATTTTAAAACTTGTTTACTTATTTTGGTTGTGTCAGGTCTTCATTGCAGCACACAGCCTCTCTCTAGTTTCAACGAGCCGGGGCTGGCTACTCTTGAGTTGCAAGTTTCGGTGTGAGGGCTTCTCACTGTGGTGGGTTCTCTTTGTTGCAGAGCACGGACTCTAGGGCTCTCAGTCTTCAATCCTTGTGGGTCCTACAGCGCTTCGGCTTCAGTAGGTGTGGCACACCGGCCCAGTTGCTCCTCAGCATGTGGGATCTTCCTGGACCAGGAATCGAACCCATGTCCTCCGGCATAGGCAGGCAGATTCTCAACCACTGGCCCACCAGGGAAGTCCCATTGCTGGTATGTTAAACAATGATGTGGTACCAAGTCAGCCACTAGCTGTGCTTACTCTGCTCTGTGCAGTGTCTGATATACCTGGGTGTACCTGGGACTGAAGTGCATACAGGAACTTGTGAACTTTGCTTTAAGGAGAGTTCAGGAGGCCAGTTGTTGCGGCAAGTCTTCTGATGAATGCCTCAGCGAGCTTCTGCAGGTCAGCCCCAAGGGCACACAGCTAAACATGACCTGGGGGTGGGGCGGATTCCTGGGATGGCTGTCAAGCCAGTGACTTTCAGTAAATCCACACCTATGAGAATCAATCCCTGGAGAAAGCCAGATAGATCAGTTTCCTGGTGCAATGGGCACGCCTGATTTCCCTCTTTCAGTGCCTCTCAAAGCTCTTTTAAATGCATGAGAGTAAAAGAATTTTGTTTGAATCACCATAACTTGAGTACAGAATATAATTATATAAACCCATTTCATCAAACAAGTATTTCTAGACCATGTTTTCCAAATTTGTAAAATATCATGAAAGTGTAGTTGCTCAATCATGTCCGACTGTGTGAACCTATAAACTGTAGCCTGCCAGGCTCCTCTGTCCACGGGATTTTCCAGGCAAGAATACTGGAGTGGGTTGCCATTTCCTTTTCCAGGGGATCTTTCAGACCCAGGGATTGAACTCAGGTCTCCCAAATTGCAGGCAGATTCTTTACTGTCTGAGCTACCAGGGAATCCCTGGTGGTAAAATATCATAGAGATAAGAATTTATTCTAGATCATAGCACTTCAAAATGAGATTGGAGGTAAACAAATGAAGATACTTGCAATTATGATACCTGCGTTATTCTTTACATTCTAAAATGAACAAACTGGGGACTTCCCAGGCAGTCCAGTGGTTAAGACTCCATGCTGTCAATACAGAGGGGTGCGGGTTGGATTCCTGGTTAGGGAATGAGGATTGCACATGCTGTGGGGCAAGGCCAAGAAAAATTGGACAAATTTGTAATTAGCACGTAGTGATCTATTAACTACATTTGTTGTTGTTTAGTAGCTATGTTGTGTTTGATTCTTTTCGACCCTATGGACTGTAGCCTGCCAGGCTCCTCTCTCCATGAGATTTACCAGGCAAGAATACTGGAGTGGGCTGCCATTTCCTCCTCCAGGGGATCTTCCCAACCCAGGGATTGAACCTGGGTCTCCTGCATTGGCAGGTGAATTCTTTACCACTGAGCCCCCAGGGAAGCATTAGCTACATAAATACATACAATTTCTCCCAATAACTTTGAGAGAATGCTGGATTTTGTATCCACAACCAACCATTGTGAATGCAATGCATTGTGAATGCAGCCATTTCGACCATTATTATTGCATCTTATAGTCTATGATTTTGAAAACAACTTAAAAAATAATAGTAAATTTTTTCAAACTCCATCCACCACCCAAAAATGAAACAAACAACCTGATGAAACAGAAGATGCAAATGTGGGGAGCCGTCTTTGACAAAGGGGGCAATGGGTTCCTACAGATAAAGTGGGTGTAAACCAAGTATGTGTTGCTGCTGGCAGGATTTTGTTTCCTGGTATTGTCATCAGTGTCTTTGGAGGCAGGTCCCAACGAAGGGGAGAGTGTCAAGGCACACGAGACAGAGGGCGTGAGGGCAGCCTGTGTGGCCACTCGCAGGACTGAAGCCCTGGTGGGAGGGAAGGTGACCTCTTGGTTGGGAGCTCATCATCTGGTCCCTGTGTGCTCCTTAGGAATTCTTCCAGTGAAGAAAAAAGAGAACTCGGTTGGGTCCAGACTTTGGGAAGTCGCAGGGTAGCACTGGCTTCTGGCTGGGTGGCCCAGTCTTTCCATAGTGCCTCAGGGTCTGAGTATGCTCTATCGCTTGGCTTTGCTTCCACTGGGGTTGCCTGCCTTCCCGGTGCGGGGGGAGCTTGCTGCCAGTGGCCTCAGATGGACATCCCCGCCACCCCAGCAGCTCAGCGTAGAGGGTGTTTCCCCAGCTTCGAAATCTTAGGCTGAGCTTTGTGAGCCAGAGAGGGGCCTCAGGCCTTTCCTGGGTGAAACGCTGTCACCCAGAGGAAAGGAGGGCAGGCTCAGTGGGTGAATCCCACAGTGTCCCCTTGTGGTCCTGGCGACACATCAGAATCATCTCCTGAATGTCTCGGGAGACCTTCTTTTTTATTTCTTAATTTATTTTTGGCTGCCCTTGCTGGAAGCAGGCTCTCTCTAGTTGGAGCAAGCAGGAGTCTTCAGTTGTGATGCATGGGCTGCTCTTTTTTCAGCCTTCCCGATGTTGCAGAGCGCAGGCTCTAGGATGCGCAGGTTTCAGCATTGCAGCTCGTGGGCCCTAGAGTTCAGGCTCAGTGGTTGTGGCACATGGGCTTAGTTGCTCCTCGGCATGCGGGATTCTCCAGGCCCAGGGATTGAGCCCATGTTCCCTGCACTGGCAGGCGGATTCTTCACCAGTAGACCACAAGGGAAGTGTTTGAAGGGGCCAAACCAGAGTGCAGTTTCTGACCCACCACGCTGTTTATTCTCCCCTTGCTTTTCTGGTAATTTCATGATCACTCAGTGAAAAATCTATTTCTCTCATTATCTCTGATACATTTACTTCTTTGCTCAGTTCTACTAGACATGTAAAACGGTTTCAGGATTCATAGTCTGTATCTGTTTGAGAGGGCGTCACAGGTGTCACAGTGGCAAAGAATCCACCTGCCAATACAGGAGACGAGGGTTCAGTTCTTCCAGACGAGGGTCAGGAAGATCCCCTGGGGAAGGAAATGGCAACCCACTCCAGTCTTCTTGCCTGAAGAATCCCCATGGATAGAGGAGCCTGGTGGACTACATGGAATCCCATGGGGTCACAAAGAGTCAGACTCAAATCAGTGACTGAGCACACACAGGCATCTGTTTTGAGAAACAAATCTTCCAACCAGAGTACAGATTATGTACAGTTTTTTTTCTTTAGTTTTACCATATCTAGTTAGTACACTGCCTTAGCTGTTTCTTTCCTCATCACTTTCATTGTGGCTAAACCATCCATTTGTAAGCAGATTTATTTGTCAGAGTATGTATTTCACTTTGGATTCCCTTGGCATTCTGGATGATTTCTAAAAAAATTTTATATAGTAAAATTTACTCTTTGTGGCACACAGATCTATGGATTTTTTTTTTTTTTTAGATCTATGGATTTTTGACAAATTACACACACTTATTTTCCTGTGTTGAACCAGCCTTGCATTCTTGGGATAAACTCCATTTAGTATCTTTTTAATATATTGCTGTATTAAATTTTTTAAAAAGAAATTTTGGCTTGGTTTGATGCCAATTCCCAGGGCTTTAAGATCAGACAACTCTATCCCTTGACCACAGCTGGACATTTGTCGCAGGACGGCCTACACAGCAGAGCACCTGGCCAGGCTCGGCCAATCAGAGACCTTCCATAGAGTTTGGAACTTGATTGGCTGGCCTGTAACATGTAGACCGTGGTGCTGTGGGCGATGGTGGCGGTGGTGGGGTGCCATGCTTTCTGCGATGTGGTTGTAGGATACAGAAGATGCTGGAGAAGAGAACAGATCAGGTACGGGGAGAAGGGCTAGGATGACAGACCCAAACCACACAGTCTGTCTGTTTCTACATTTTGCATTTCTTTTCAAGGGATGAAAGTATTTAGAGACAAAGAGGTATGTGTACTACCTTTAGGAAAAAGAGCAAACACATTTGAGCTCTTGGACATACCTCAGGCCACAGTCCCTTAGGAAGACTAGAGCTGGGTTTCTGTTATTTGCCGTCAAAGGTGTTCAAATGTCTCCCATTGGACAATCCGTGGTTTCTTCTAGAGAGGAGAATTTTTTTGGTATCACTGGTCACTTTCCCTCAACTGGCCTCCTTCTCCTAAGTCTAAGTTGCGGGTCACTGTGGCTGAGCCACACCATGCTGATTCTCATTCTCCTCTTTCATAAAGTGAAGGAAATCCTCTCTGACTTTCATGCAGGGATCTTGCACAGAGAGGGTGTTCAAAGGACAGCCAGGACAAAGATGTTGAAAGGAGGGCCACCAAGAATTTCAATCATCTGAATTTTGAGCTAAGATATTTCCAAGAGGGGAGCCTGGTGGGCCACAGCCCTTAGGGTCACAAAGAGTCAGACATGACTGAATGACTTAGCACACACACCTGTCCAACAGCGATGATGACAACGGGGATGATGATTTGGGATTTTTGCCTCCCTAGTTGGCCTTGAAGTTGTTACAACCCTCCTAAGAGCAGATATTATTATGATTGTGGTTGTCCTTGTCATTTTGTTACAGCTAGACATAACTGAGCACCCTGAGTCATGTGGTTCTAGGTGTGCCCTTGGCCTCCCTCGCCATCTTCCAAATTTGACGACTTCCTGGTGACCTGGGACCGAACTTTAGATCAAAACCGATTAGACTTTGGATCTTGTGAACAAAATTAAGGAAACTGAGATTATTTTCTCCTCTTTATTTATTGAAATTAAAAAAAAAGAAAAATGAAAAGAACATTATCTCTTGGTGTTCTAGGTGGTATAGAATGTTATTTACATAAACAGTTGAATGAACTTTTGGGACGGACATTTCTGATGCTCATTCTCTAGATGAAAACATCACTCCCTTATTTTTTGCACGACTTCCATTGTTGACAACATGGGGAGTTGAGTGGACAAAACTCAGCCCCATGCACCCCGGTGACTTCCAGTCCCTGGGGACCAGGGATGATGTTGAATTTGGCTTCAGCTACCTGAGAGAGTGTAAACTTGTATTTCCAGTGCTAGGTAACCTGTTCATTTTCTTTGTTATCTGAGATTTAGGAGCTGGAAGGAGACCTCTAAACTTCTTGGCACTGATTATTTCAACTGCTGTGAGGCTAATGATTCACATATTGAAAGAATAAAATATCCTGGAAACCTGCTAAAGAAGGAATTTCAAAGCGTGTTCATTCTATTGACAAATGTGCCCTTCTGAGAGGCTTATGGAGGCACGATTTTATTTGCTCTTGTTCCTAAAAGTAGTGCTCTTACCTCTCTCTCTCTTTAAATACTTTTTCCCTTGGGAAAAAAAAAAATTGCAAAAAAGTTGCAAAAAGTAGAACTAGGCAATTCATAAAGGAAGAAAAGCAAATAAAAGATGAAAAAAAACCATGAAAAGATATTCAATTGAGCAAATGCAAATTGAAGCAGTGAGGTGTTTTTTTTTTTCTCCAGTTACATAAGAAAACATTATATAAAGGCTGATGACAATTCTGCATTGCTGAGAGAATGAACACTTTTTATATCCCACCTTCCAGGTGCAATCTGGCAACGTTCACCAGGGTTTGCACCACTCTCTTTGGCTCAGAAACTGTACCTCCAAGCACAGTCTTGAAGCCCTGGCTGAAGCCCTGTGTGAGGATGGAAACTGAGGCCATTGACTGAAGATTGCTTAGGAGAGAGACCAGAAACAACCTCAGGTCCACAGCAGGGAGGGGTGAGACACATGCTGTATGGCTCTCCACAAGCTTGGGGCAGGTGCTGAGAATGAGGGTGCAGATATTCATATGCAAATGTGGGAACACATGGTCTGTGTATTGCCAAGTGAAAAAAGTGACAAATCCGTGCTCATTGTGATTTCATTTCTGTAAAACATTTGTGTATGTGTTTTAAGCAAGTAGTCTGGGGAGTCACCAAAGGATAAATACTGTACGTATAACTCCACTCAGACTGGGTGCCTGTGATAGTCACATTCACAGATAAGGAAAGTAGAATGGGGGTTGCCAGGGCAGTGGGGGTGAGAGGATGGGGAGTTATGTTTACTGCGTACGTGGATGCAGTTTGGGAAAAAATCCTGAAGCTGGATGATGGTGATACCTTAGCGCCATTGAATTGTACACTTAAAAATGGTTAAAATGGGGGACTTCCCTGGTGGTCTAGTGGCTAATACTCTGTGCTCCCAATGCAAGGGGCCTGGGGTTCAATCCCTGGTCAGGGAACTAGATTCCACATGTTGCAACTAAGGATCCCACGGGCCACAACTAAGACCTGCACCGTCAGATGAATCAATAAAAGCTTCTAAAAATGGTTAGAATGGCTCATTGACAAACAGCAAGGTCCTCCTGTATAGCCCAGAGAACTATACTATGATAAACCATAATGGAAAAGAATATTCAAAAAAGAATGTATATGTATGTGTGACTGAATCACTTTGCTATAGAGTAGTAATTAACAACATTGTAAATTAACTATCCTTCAATAAAAAAAACTTTAAAAAGGTTAAAATGCCCCTCCAGGGACAGAACCCTGTGTCTCCTGCCTCTCATTTGTAGAAAAGCTTTAGCCTCCGAGACCCATTCTGAGTTCCAAAGAGCAGATTGAATCAAGGAAATGAAGAAAATACAGAAACAAAGGAAAATAGTTAGCAAGACAAAATAATAATAGTTTAGCCCGAGAACAAAGTCAAGGGCCTTTAGTTCCCTCCTCAAGGGCCATAGGTAATATCCTGAGCCATAAACTCAGTTGTTTCACACATACTAAAACCCCCTACCAGGTAGAAGTTGACTGCATGCTGACCACAAGCATGTAGACTCCAGACTGGTTGGAACCAGAAGGTTGATGAACCTGATTCTCTGAGCAGCAGCCAATCGGAAGAATGGCCACCAGTTGATCAGGTACCCTCTGACCCTCAACCCTAGTGTTGTCTTTGAAACCCTTCCCCAGGAGCCTTTGGGGAAGACTTTTTTTCTTTTGAGCATGAGCTGCCCATTCACCTTGCTTGGCCCCATGTGGAATGCCTTGCAAAAATGCTGCACTTTCCTTCACCACAGCCTGGTGTCACTAGATTGGCTTTACTGGGCACAGGTGAGTGGACCCAGTTTGGTTTGGTAACACCAACCCTTCTTCCCCCACTTCCCCAACCCATCCTGCTCTGTAACCAGCACCTGTGAGCATGGTGATTGGCTGATCTTGGTTGTCTGCATGTCAGTGCTTGCATGAGTGGGACAGGGAGTGTCACTAATAGACCTCCGTGCTTCTAGCAATGGCTGGGGGCAGAGCATCCTCAAAAGGAGACCGTGGCTGGGACCAGGAAGGGAGAACCATCTAACCCTGGCAGCTGCCCAAGTGGCAACAAACTTCCAGAGCTTGGGAACTTTTCACAAGCTATTCCCTCTGCCTGCCACAATCTGTCTCCAAACCTTTGCCTCACTACCTCCTTGTATTCATATCTCAGCTTGAAGTCCATCTTGGTGCATCCCTCTGGCAGGCCATCTAAGATCCCTCCATCCTGATCCCACATCTTATTTTCCCTGAGGTACATATCTTCACCTAAGGGTGTTGTATTCACTCGCCTGCATATTTAGGGTCACTTCTCTGTTGGTCCTTGTATTAGTCACCTAGAGCTGCCATAACAAAATACCATGGACTGGGGAAACTCAACAACAGATATTTGTTCTCCCATAGTATTAGAGGCTGGAAATCCAAGATCAAGGTGTCAGCAGGTCTTCTCACAGCTTCCCTCAGAGGAGGAGGGTGGGAGAGAGCAGTCCAAGATGTGTGAAGGCCATTATCTTGGAAGTGGCATCCATCACTTTTGCTATTCATGGAAGAGAATCACTAGGTCCAGTCCGCCTTCAAAGGGAGCAGGGATGGGGACACTCAGAGGAGCATGACTCTCAGGAGTCTGGGATCATTGGGGACCACTGTGGACACAGATACCCTGATGCCGAGCTATGGAGAAAACTCTCATTGTGCATCCCCCACCATTTAGAAACCATTATAGGTGTCAGCATTCCTGGCAATAGCAAAACAATGCTTTAACAGCCTGAATGTCCCTCGGTATGAAATGCACATCCATGCATGCCAAGTTGCTTCAGTCATGACCAACTCTTTGCGACCACATGGACTGTAGCCCACCAGGCTCCTCTGTCCATGGAATTCTCCAGGCAAGAATACTAGAGTGAGTTGCCATGCCCTGCCCCAGGGCGTCTTCCCAACCTAGGGATCGAACCTGAGTCTCTTGCATTGCAGGTGGATTCTTTACCACTGAGTCACCAGGGAAGCCCATGAAATGCACACGTAAGTATAAATAGAATAATAATAAGTTAAAAGGAATTGCGTTTGTTTGGGTCCTTTGAGAAGCAGCCACGAAGATGAGCTTAGATCTGCAAGGTAATTACTGAGGGAAATGCCTGAACAATAAAAGGGGAGGGAGCTGGAGAATGAGGGGACAGCCTGCAGGTCAGATGCAGACCTTCATCTGGGAAGGAGAAGTGGGTGGATGGCAAGAGGCTCTGTATGGCCAGGCTGAGTAACAGTTGCCCGTTAGAAGAGCCCCCATCCCACTTCATCTTGCAGCAGTGGAGCGGCATTAGCACCCCAGCTATGCTCAGCCCCTGGCTGGGAGCAGCGTGCAGGAAGTGTGGCATGGGACCCATCCATTTTTATGGCTCCCAGGTGAATAAACTACGTCTGAGCATATCAATGTGGATAGATCTTGTAGATATAACACTGGGTGAAAAGCAAGTTGTCAGAGAATAACCACTTATGTAAAATACAAAATGAAGAGGGTGGGGCAAATCGAGAGAGTAGC